CTCTCAGCTCTTGGAGAAAATGTGCAAATTACACCAAATAATTAGTACAGAATTTTAACGAACGCACGAGAAGGAAGCGAGAAAAGCATTGTCCGCAATTTATACAAGCATTGAATAAGCTTCTTACCAAGTTAATTGAATCCAAGACTGGTAAACTTGGTTAAAATGATATATCTATTATTGAATATGGGAGAATAGACAAGGAAAATTCAAAACAAGAAGAAATGAACGAGCTGCTAAGCACTCGGCTCGTTTCGAATCATCAACTCTTGTTTCTACTCCTTCTCTTGCCATTCAATGCTTACGCTTACCTCCGTACTATTGCTCCATTTTAGGCAGGCACTTTGCAGAGATTACAGAAAAAGAGTTTGTGCACAATCTGCGCGCCATGATCAACGGCGAGTTTCGTCATGACGTGGATCAATTCGGTTGGACTTTCTTCAAGGCAGTCGAAGTCGACGGTACCGGGTCTCTTTCGTTGAACGAGTACAGAAATCTACAAGAAGCCTTCAATGTGGGCCGTGACGAGGCGGAGGGCATGTTCAAGGTTGGTTAGCCTAGCCGTGCGGTTATTTAATTGAAGAAAATCATTATCCATTTTTTGTGCTCCTCTTTTCTAATTATTGGCAGGCTTAACTATGTTTCACAGAACTAAACACAAACCAGACTGTGGTCATATCCATGATAAGAGGTCCCATCACTTATTTTTTTCTTTTTCTAAGTAGTTTCAAGAAATTAACAGTATATCATATATTCACGAGATATATTTATCCTATTTCGTTTAAGGTGATGAAAGACCGATAAAATCGTATTATTATTACAAATCATCTAGAAACCTACTTATATAGAAAGGAAGTAGTATAACTCTGTAACTGATCTCAAAAGGCTCAGGCGCCACTGCCACTGCAACATGACAAGATCGGAGCTGTAATAACGCTAGTTAAAACTATGGCACACAATAATTATGTAGCTTAATATGGCATAATAATTACCTCATCCTAGACATGCTGGCTCACTGGTACTATCTCTTGCCAATCTCCTGCTGGAATGAGTAGATTTTGACAGTGGTTCCCACCTAGTTCGCTAGCAGAAGCCGGTCCAATTTTTTGGCCATCATAGATATGAGCATACTCGTCCCCAACACCAAAATGCATGCTTCACACTCTTAAAAGTGTCTCTGAGAATTTGTCACACACACTTGATTTCCTTATTCACGTACGTTTGGAATGCAGTTTGAGGCTAAATATAGCCTCAATATTATGATTACAGAATTAAGTAAATGGCCTATTCATATTCGTAAAAAATACAAAGTAAATATGGCGAAATATGAATTTATGCTCAGACAAAACTAGAGTATATGCTGGGGTTGGGCCAATATGACGGATCAATTGAAAGCGCATCCGCGGCTTTAATAAATATTTTATTTTTCATTTTTTTCATTGACTAGGTAATTGATGCTGACAAGGATGGAAAAATCAGCAGTGATGAATATTTATCGGCTTGGGTTGATTACTTCTTGTGTGAGGATCCCAACAGTCCATACAAGGCCTTCTTCGGTCCGGTTATTCATAGGCCCCCGGAAGGTGTGTAAAACAACTGATATTGACTGACTGTTGCTGTGCGACAATCCTGTCCCAACTCCTTTCATACGCTTTCCTCCAACCTATAGCTCAATAGCTTGACTTAGGCGCCTTTTTGTTTAAGAATAGTTTGAATAAGGAAAAAGAGCCCAAAAAGAACCAAAGGACTTACTATCACCCCTTACCATTAACGTGTTGGCAACTTTTATTTTCTTTTTGATGTAAATTTGTTTACGATGCATCTCATTTTATCCTCCTACTCAAGCACAGGAAAATTTGAAGACAACCAATCACCCAACTGTCTAAGTCTTCCTCGATATGGTTTATAAGGCAGTCATATGTGATTAAATTCAATTAATTGTCAAAAGCATTAAGATAATTCATTCAATCGAATATAATCATTTGTTTCCCATCACCTTTTTTCTTTGTGTTACAATAGGAAGGTTTGAAAGCGCAACACTCAGTGAAAATAGGAGGGGAACAAGTTAATGTTAGGCTTGGAAGCTCTCGTAAAGCACATGATACCAGCAAATTTAATAGGGAAACTTGATCAACTTTTGAATAATAACTGATGTGTCTTAGGTTGCTTAGGGTGCCTTAAGTGATTAAAAGTGAACTAAGTTCTTATTTTGGAAGGTAAGTAATATCTTAGGATACATTAGCAAATATGTTTGCTATTTCGACACTCCCAGCATACGATATGATAAGAGAGAAGCCTGGCTTGCCCCAAAGATCATATCTGCCTTCGACCCCCTGACACTCTTCGTAGTGTAGTTGAGGAGTAAAGTATTTCCACGATGCTCACGATCCGGTTTCGAATCCCATTATGGACACAAATGTGAAATGGTCTAGTCAAATTTGTGCAAAGCAAAACTATGTGAAATTCAATGGCATCGTTGGGTCAACTTTTGAAAGAAGAAGCCCGGGCATAAGAAACAGCATTTGCTAAAACCCTCGAAAAAGTAGTAAACGTGTGCCGAGAGTGATTTTCATGCGTAGCAAGAAACAATTTACAAGCTGAGGTGAAGCAGGGCTAAGTGAAAGTGAAAAACCATGAATATGAAGCCTTGCAAAAGGCCTATGAAACCTATGGTGAAGGTGATTACACTTCATTAAATCAGCTTGAAATAATACACTCTTAGGCAGCACTGAAACGAACGAGAACACAGAATGGTGTGAACAGACAAATTGGTCATACGAAATAGGATTTCGAGAAAGAGATGCAGCACTAGAAGTTAAGATAAAAAGGATGTGAGGAGTGATGCAACAGCTGTGGAAGAGAGAATTGATCAGGGTAATTGCTTTCAGTTGCCAGTTTGATAAGCAGTAAGTCTGCGCTAGGCATGGTGCTTCTCATTGACGGTACCGGCTAAACGTTTGGGAATGTACCGAGTAAGCAGTCCGATGCTTGAAATCATCTTTAATACTATGGCAAATGAAGTAGAGCTAGGTACATTCCACAAGGGCTCTTTTGGTTTTCACCAAGTTGCGAAAGCGAGTTCAAACGAATCTTAAGTATCACTATTCTACTAAAAATGTGGTAAATTAAATTCATAACTCCAGACATTGAGTAAAATTGCGACTAGTTTGCTTAAGTTGCCCTAAATAGGTTTAGCAAATTGTACCTAATTGTTCCAAAGAATAAGCCATTTAGTAAGTAATTTACTGTGAAACTCATGTAGGCCGTCTTTTGTAGGAATATCTGCCTTAACGCAAAGTTATTAAAGTGGGTCATTAACTTTCTATATTTAGGCAGAACTATCAATTAAATTGAGAAGCCATCATAACTTGATGAGTTGCAAATTGGTTGCACGAATTAGGCCAAACATGAGCAAGGATCATGTTTGCCATACACTTTTGTTAATAGTTTATTCCATAAAATACAAATAGATACTCGAAATGAGGTAATTCGTCATAAAATGTGCACCTTGTCTTGAATATTCCCGGAAATTTCGTTTCATGACTATTATTTTATTATACTTTTAATAAATAGTAGATAACTTTATGCCTGATAGACATCATGAAAAACGACCTGATCTCAGGCCGAATTTAATCGTTATGATATACGAAAGATAAACCGGTATGCTCTGAAACTCAAAATAAATAAAGAATAAACCTGGAAGTTTTATTCTGGATAACAAGCTATAAGGATCAAAGCAACTATTCGAATGAAAATTCATTCATTTAATTAAACTAAGTTTTTTTATTTAGAGGCGAATTCCTAATAATAAAAGGGTCTAACTTT